ATATGTTGAAATAAAAGTGAAACTAAAAAAAAAATTGGCTTCAAGCAGCTGCTTTGCTAAATGTCCCTTCCGACTCACAAGATGAAGCAGGTACCGCCGGCTTTTGCTCTTATTGAATAATGTATGTATGAGTGAAAACTATCGATAGTGTTTATAAAACTATAGATTTTTTCGATAGTCAAAAACCATCGATAGTTTTCCAGCACTTGTCTGTTCTGCCTTCTCGGAATTAGATAGAGAAACAAGGGAATGGATCTGGTGGTGAATGGGGACAAATAATAATATCAGCCTTGAAATCGAACGGAGAATCACTCTTCCCAACAAGTGTTACTTTGTAATGAGGCAATTGAGAAGTAGAGTCCTTTCTCGACATACAAAAATCATACACTATAAGTCACACATCTTGCCTGTGCTGGTGAAAGGTGCAGAGGCAAAGACAATGAAAACATCTATAAAAAATATATTTCTTCGAAAATATCGTATGATGCGCTATCAATATTTAAATTAATATAAATCAAAAGTTCAGTTTTTATTAGTGACATATTCGCTTTATTTGTCTCATCTCACCATTTAAAAATCTTAATAGAAAATCCTCTTTCTGTGAATGCCGAAGTTGCAGGAATAGAGAGCATAAGCGAAATAATTTTAAGTAAATTTAGTAAATCTTTCTAAGTATTTTTAAAAATGTTGCCATTTTTGATCTGTGGACCCTTTGTTTTAAAGTATATTTATTTTAATATTGATATTTCAGTATAAATGCCATCCATTTTAAAATATTTCTTTCTTACAAATGACTGAAATATATTTATATTTATAATTGAAGAAATATAGTATTTTTGCATACTATATTTTTTCCAACAGTATATAGTACGCAGACCCAAAAAATAGTACAATACTATATATTACAGTACGGTTGGCAACCCTAGCTGCAACAACTTCCAAAATGCAAATTTTTCCGCAAAAGCTTTCATTAATAACGGCCTCAAACGCAATCAAACTGTTGAATGTAATTGTTATCAGGCCATAAATAACAAAAACAAAAAGAAAAAAGTAAACTCTCATATTTTCATAAAACGAAGCTTCAATAATAATATTTCTAAATTACTTAAAACATACTAAAATTTAAATAAAAATCACACCAAATTATAAATTTCTATATATGATGCATGTACAGTGCCACACTAAATTATTGGCTCGGGAAATTTTTCGCAATGAATGCAACATTTTTTACTTAAAATTTTCCGCCCAATTTTGTAAAAATATTGTTCCTACTACAACGAAAAACATAAAAAAATCTCTTCGCGCAAAACTCAGGAAAATGCAACAAATTTGCATACAAGTTGGCACTTCAGTATAACAAAGTGCCAGTTTGAAGTCGATTAGTACATATATAGAATATGAACGTAAATATTTAAACATCGTTATCGACGTCTTCGACTCCATGCAAACAATAGGGAGTCGGTAATGTCGATAACAATGTTTAATCGGAGATTAATATTAACCAGACATAACCGGCCCTTATGGCCGGTTCCTCAATGTCCGGTTAACACTAATCTGCGGTTAAACATCGTTATCGACGTCTTCGACTCCATGCATACAACAGGGAGTCGGTAACGTCGATAACAATGTTTAACTGGAGATTAGTGTTAACCAGACATTGAGTAACCGGCCCTTAGAGTTCTAAATTTTTTACAACGAGATGTCTAAGGCCATTTTCACTATCTCTGGTTAACATAATCCCCAGTTAAACATCGTTACCGACGGTACTGACTCCATTCATTTAATATTGGGTCGGTAACAATATTTAACTGGGGATTAGTGTTAACCAGAGATGGTGAAAACGTCCCTAAATGTTTTTCTTGCCAAAAAAACCGGGACAATTTGCGTTCCGCCGAAAACGGGACGGTTGGCAACCGTGATTGATATCCATATTGTAATACTAAGGTCTTCGACTCCACTATATAACAGGGAGTCGGTAACGTCGATAACGATGTTTACAAAAAATAATTAGCGTAACATATGTCCCCATTGGTCTTTTTGAAAGTACTTACTTCTTTCTTCTTTCTTTGGTTTTAATTCTCGCCTTTTCCATTAGTTCTGTAATTGTGCATCTTCAGAGTCGCATTTGTTTGTAATTTTCCCTTACTCTACATTAAAAATCCTTTAAAGATTTAGGGCCGGTTACTCAATGTCTGGTTAACGCAAATCTCCGGTTAAACATAGTTATCGACGTTACCGACCCTGTTGTATGCATGGAGTCGTAGACGTCGATAAAGATGTTTAACCGCAGATTAGTGTTAACCAGACATTGAGTAACCGGCCCTTAATTTAATTTTGAAAATTTTTTCCCCCAAATCGCCCTATCACAAAATTTCTAGATATTGTGAAAGTCATAATTATGGATCGCAATACTAACAATATTTTAAATACGGACGCGGTAAATATTGAATGTATTGCACACACTCAAGTTCCACCACTATTTTGAAATTTATCAATATGGATCGCATTCCAAATATGTATAACAATATATATTCAACGTGTGACAGGTGCCTTATTTGATACAATTTTTCCGGAGCGAGAGCTGACCGTGATATGTATAAATAATATTACACTTGGCTCAATTTAGGTAAAGTATATTTCTCCAAAATATTTTCGCGTCAATATTTTATATAATGAGCATTAAAGAAGACTGAGGGCCCTTTTCACCATCTCTGGTTAACACTAATCCCCAGTTAAACATTGTTACCGACCCAATGTTAAATGAATGGAGTCAGTACCGTCGGTAACGATGTTTAACTGGGGATTAGTGATAACCAGAGATGGTGAAAATGGCCCTGAATGCCATCTATCAATCACCTACAAACGATTCTGCATCATTTAGGGCCGGTTTCTCAATGTCTGGTTAAAGCCCTGTAAGCAGCTCTCAAGAAAACGGTCAAGAAAAAATTGCCATTATTTCGCGTGTGTGTCCAAGGAATTTTGACATTTTTGATACCTCACAGCCTGTTGCCTCACTCTTTCCTCAAGAAATAATGGAACGGGCATATATTTCTGTTGCAAACCTGGGTTGCCTTGTGCTCTTTTTTCACAAAAAAACTTTAGAAAACCGTAGTAGAAAGCGTAGTAAATTTCTTAAGAACTGCGTACTGCCTTAATGAAATTTGACTCAAGAAAATTTCTTTCTTGCTTTTCTTTCTTCTTTAGCTTTTCTTGAGTGCTGCTTACTGGCCTTAAGGCCATTATTTCGTGTGTATGTCCAAGGTACTTTGACATCTGATAATTCACCAGCCTGTTGCCTCACTCTTTCCTCAAGAAATAGTGGAACAGACATATATTTCTGTTGCAAGCATGGGTTGCCTGTGCCCTTTTTTGAGAAAAAACTTTTAAAAACCGTAGTAGAAAGCGTAGCAAATTTCTTAAGAAGTGCGTATTGCCATTTCTTCTACGTAATTTTATATGGAGTTTTGGCTTTTCTTGAGAGCTGCAGACTCGCCTTTAAACAGGGAAATTCTGGTAACTATCTTAAAAGCTCTTTCCTGTCTTTCGAAATGCTAATTGAAAGATCTGCTAACGAGGAGGTCTTAGCGTTATGCTGCTCGCCTTTTAATTTTTTTTAATTAAATTAAATTAAAAAAAAAAACATATATATTTCTCTTTTTAAAACAATCAAAAGAAATTTAAATGAAAATGATAAAAAAATTAAAATAAACCAAAAATTAATAAATAATTTGTTTTAAAAATTAAATGAAATTCAAATAGAACTTTTTTCTTATTAATTAAAAAGAAAAAAAATTATTTAAAAAAGAAACGAAAAAAAGTTCCGCTTCTCGAGAATCGGAACTCGTGACCTTTTGAACGGCACGCCTATGCTCTGCTCACTCAGCCATTGCGACTGTTGGAGCGAAGCGAGCTAACTTACGGTTTACACCAGACAATATTGTCAAGGCAATTATGTCAAAATGATGTGTTTGTTGTAAACACGGCGAATTCACATTGCAACGAACACATCATTTTGACATAATTGTCTTGACAATATTATCCGGTGTAAACCCTAAGGTTATGATATACAAGTTCTTTCTTTCAAAATAGTTTTTCGCCACGAGTGGTGAATAAGAGAGACTTTTGGTGCTAGAATAACAAAAGTCTTTCGAACTATCTTGCCATCTGTCTTTCATTTGTCTTACGAAAGGCTATTACTGTCATTAGCCAGAATTACCCTGTACAGTAACTAAATGTTAAACATCGTTATCGACGTGATCGAGGCCCTTTCTCGGTATTTGAACATTCAATCGCTTCCGTAGAAATATTGAACTTTTTTATTTCAAGATCTATCAAATGTTAATTATTATCTATCCGGTTACTTAATGCCTGGTTAATAGCCCAGTTATGCATACTTGCACTGCTATACCATTTTTACGTAAAAATCGAAACCCAACAGAATTCTACATGCTAAGTGCTCTGCGTTGGGTAACCGCTTACACGCAAAGCCCATTTAACAGATTCTTATGTGACAACTTTCATGCAACGCTGATTATGCATAACTGGGCTATAACACTAACTACATGCTAAACATAGTTGTGTCGACTCCCAGTTATATGTTATGGAGTCGATCACGTCTATAAAGATGTTTAACCTTTAGTTAGTGTTAACCAAAGATTGAGTAGCCGGCCCTATGTAATACTTTTAAGTTAAAGTTAACTTCTCGGTTATGCTATTCAGAACGTTGCCGAACATTTTTAAATAGACAAATTTTAAATTTTATTAACAAAAAATGAAACGTGAACTTTTACAACATTTTTGTTACCAGTCCAGAATAGACCTGGTACTCTTCAGTTCTGGCCGTACTCAAGCCGCTGTGTATTAAAAATTTCTTTCAGCTTGTCTTTGTTTTAAATTTATGTGTACATATATACATACGTACATATTTATCCATGTTATAAATTATGAGAAGTTCGATTTATTAAATATTTTAATTTTTTTCTTTGTACGCCTACCAATAGACTCAAATTCAAAGAAATCATGTCAGGGCTGTGAATTGCCATCGGATGATATACCAGATTCCACCTCAAACTCGCGAGGACATAATAACAACACCCCAAGTGCGACTAACAACAATACGAACGGAGGAAGTTGTAAGTATTCGAATATGAAAAAAACAATGTGGAGTTACAATTATAAAAATTTTTGACAGTGACTCCTAGCTCGACCCTGGAATCGGGTATTTCGTCAAATCTCTTAGGTAGTTCAACTGTCTCTGCCTCTAACTTGATCAGTGCCGATTCAAGTGTGGCTTCCAGTGTTAGTTATGAAGAGGACCCGGACGAAAGCCCAATTAAAGTAAAGAAAAAAGATGATGGTCAAGTAGGTGTTACACGTTTAATTTGTCACATATACACATTTAATAACTTATTCGTATCTGTGCTCTTTACTTAGATTGTCAAAAAGGAGGCAGTTTCCACATCCACCAAAGCATCACCCTTCTCTTATGATTCACCGACAGCGATCAGTAACGCAAATGCCGGAAACAACAGCACTGTTGGTAACGCAGTAGTCATGTCGACTGGTGGCGCTGGATTCCGTCGGAACTCGGAAAACGCGCCGCATAACAGTCAAACGACGCCGAGTTCGAATAGTGGTGCTAGTAGCGAAGGCGCACCGCGGAGGAAACGATTTCAAAATGCCAACCATGCAAATGCGTCAAATGTCAACGAGTCCAGCGGTCGAGCTGGTATGGCAGCGTATTTTCATGGAGGGTATTATCCGAAGCACAACATACAGCCAGATCAGCGGGCCCACCTTCACCATCAACAACAGCAACATCCACTGCCGCAATCTCAGTCGCATGCGTCGCCACATAGCTACTACGGTAAATACGACATTGAATTTGCCGCAACTGGGTCTCCACAGCATGGGTCACCTTTGTCATTGCCTATGCCACCACAACAAAAGCTGCAGCAAAGGCATCCGAACCCACTTCAACATCAACAGCACCAGCCGAATGGTGAATATGAAAGTCCCAAACCTGATTTCATTAGCAAACTTTCGCCGGATATACACAGTGCTAAGCTTCACCACGAGTTCCAAACAGCCAAGTCAACGCCTAATAACGCATTTCACCCTTTACAATCTCACCAGCAGCCGCACCCAACACAACATCCACAACCTTTCTATACACACGGTTGCGAACCCACGCCGCCTGGTGTCGCTGGACAGTACATTAATTATAATCACCATGCGGTGGATAATGGTAGCGGCTACACCCTGCATCCACACCACCACAGCGGCGAATTCGAGGCAACTGCTTTGAATGCAAACAGCAGCTACTACGAACCCAAGACACACACTGCTGGTTATTATGACCACTTGAGCTTCCAACAACAGCATCCGCAACAAATTCACCCCGATTTTCACCAACATCAACAAGCTCACGAAACTCAACAACTCCAAAATCAACAACATCCGCAAATAGGTCGCATAGATGCTGAATACCTGGTGGATGGTGCAGCGCACATGAAGATTGGAGTAACAACAGCGTCAGGAACTGCAGCGCCAGATGTGTATATACCACCAAATGCCAGCGCTCTAGGCGTACAGATGGAAAACTGCGATGGCAGCTATGGGAATTTCGGCAACTATTACGATAATGGCCAACCGCATTTGCAGTCACAACCGACTATGCCACCGCAACACCCCCCAGTACACCACCACCCGCACTCGCACCCACATCACCAGCCACCAGGCCAACATATGAACACTGGCAGCAACAACTTTGCATTAAGTAGTGGTTCCCCAGGGAATGTTCCAACTTATCCGATGGCGGCTAATGGTGGACCTGTTGTTGCAACTGGTGGGAGTCTCACCGGAATGGAGAATTCGAACAGCTCATCCGACTTTAACTTCCTCAGTAATCTGGCAAACGATTTTGCGCCAGAATACTATCAGTTAAGTTAGTTCATGTAAAGCGGCCGAGAAGCAATTCTATAGCGGACCACGCTGCGCTTACCTACGTTTCCACTATCGCTCATTTGCTAGAAGACTGACACAACTCAAAAAAAGAGATATTTGAGCTAATTGTACGTTTTATGTAGTGTAGTTTCTGTCAGTACTTTGAGTGAGATTGAAAATTTTTAAGGCGGCTTGTGAAAAATAGCGTGATTTGCATTCTGGCAGACTTTTAGTAAATAAGCGATGTGTTTTTTCGCATTTACTCAACGTATATACATACATTTACAATTGATTACTGACGCACAGGTCCGCTAAGAGAATCCGGGCCCGGTACTAAACATGCGCCGGGCCCAAAATGTATTATATCCATGTTTAGAAAATATTAATTACATTATTTTATATCGCGAAATCGGTAAATCTTAAAACAACGACAAATATTTTTACGAAATACTTGATAAAGACGAAACAATAACAACTAAAAAGTTTAAATTAAAGTGTATGCCATTACGGGACTTGATTTGGAAGAATAGGTACGAATCGCGATAAAATTTAAGCTTTATATTTGTATCTGAATTTCAATGTTCAAATTGTTGATGTTTCGCGGTTTATGCGGCAATTGTTCAAATACCATTTTCGTCTTATTTTTACGGTATATTCTTTTAAATGAATAAAAATTCTTGGGATTTAAATAAACTAGGACTGAGTATTTTTTGTTAAAGTAAAACGATGTTAACTTAAACTTAATTTTAAAAATTTATTTAGCCGCGGTTATCCGATCAAATTTGTATCTCGGTTTAGAAGGTAGAAACTCCGATTCAATACAGCGACTGCTTCATAGATCACAGTGAACAACCGGCCCTTAGACTTTAAACAAGATAAGTTTAGCTGCTTGAAGGTGGTAGTTTTGGAGAAAAGTTTGTGTTTTCACTTCCAGGAGATAGATACCCTAACTCATTACCTTCGTAATGATACATACCTCTTTTTTGTAATTACATGAAGAAATATGTAATGAACTTAAAGCAATTTTGTTGACCCAACATCACTTTTTTGTCGATATTTGCTACGACCATGATTTAAAAAAATTATATGTAAATCAGTTTTATATAGTATATGAAATTCGCTGTGTGCAAAGTTTGAACCTAATCGTGTTTAAACGCAGAATCTTGTTACGTTTAATCCAACCCTAAGTAATCGGAACCACGCTCATTTCCCAAAAACTTTATAAGCATATAATTCTTTGCTATAACGCCACTTCAAATATAAATTTTGGGAATTTTAGCTTTTTTTAGTTAGTCAAATATCTCAGGTTTCGCATTTTGGAAAATTACTGCTATATGAGAGGTTAGGGATGAAACGATACCATACAGGTATCGATACTTTTACTTGGAAGTAGTATCTTAAGAAAGTATCGACACATCCGAAAAATATCGGATCCAAAGTATCAATACGTACTCGTATCGGTACTTTTAGCTATGAAGGTATTCCGTATAAACTGGATTCAATTAAATTGTTTTAAGTAATAAATTAATCATCCTCGGCGAATTCTAAAATCCGAATAATGTAGGAACTGAAAATAAATACAACAACATAACACAGCAAAACTATATGCTTAATGATGAATGGTATTTAAAAGCTTAAACAGACGGCTGCGTTGAGCCGGACTAACTCGGACTTAATCCGAATCAACTGCAGTTAATTCCCGAGTTGATCCGGATCAACGCTGCCGTCTCTTTATGCTTTAACAGAGATAATACCTTGACCCTTTAACCTTAGAACCGTGAGTTGAGCACTCGTGTCCATATTCATGTTTAATGTTGAATTTCGGGGGTTTGGGAAGTCCGATTTGATTTTTATCATAGGCAGATATGTTGTACCTTGGGTTGTAAGTTGACAAAATATCTGTTATTGTAAAAAAGTAACGGATTTTTTATGGTGAGTTCATAGGAAGCTTAAATTTCTAAATAATTCTTGTTTTTTTTTTTTTTGTCATCCACGTTTTGTATCCTATTATTTTCTCTATTACTTCTAGTGTCCGATAATGTTTTAATCGCGAAGAATAATAGAGTTATGGTCTGATTATGGCAACTTAACGTAACTAACGGCTCTTTCTATTAGAATTATGTTAAATAGGTGGTGCTCATAATTGAACAGCCGAAACTTAACGTAACTTAATGCCACGTCCAAATCTGTTTCATTTTGATTCTCTATGTTCTACGTTCCGTTAATTTAAGTTAGGTCGCCATAATCAGGCTTTTACTGTCTACGTTGGGCCGTGTATACGCCGCACAGTGTTCTATTTTTGAAAAAAGGGGACACAATCAAACTAGAAGAGATAATGAAATAACTAATATAATGATATTCAAAATTAGATGGTTTAATTTGTCCCCCTTTTTGGCCTGAAACCATAATACAATGAAGTTTTTAAAAAGTTTTTAATTGTTTTTAAAAATGTTAGTACAAGCTGTTTTTAGGTAAAAAGGCAAAATACCAAAAATTTTACTTTTGAAAGTCATTTTAAAGGTATGATTAAATGAAAAATTACTTTGACGTCAAGACCGACGTTCAAAAGAAAAATCTTTGGATTAGATAGATTGTTAGAGGCTATGCACTACGACCTTACGTCTATTGTGCCCTATCTTTGGAGGGCTTGAGATCGCTGCCTCTTGGAGGCAAGGTTCTTCCTTGGGTTTTGCCGAGTGGGTGGTTTGTCCTTCCCGCCTTTCCCGGAGGATCGCTTGTCGCTGGCGGCGAAGACTCCCATGGCCCACTTAAGAGAGGCTTTTTGCTCCTCCATCAGCTGGTCATGCGGGATGACCCCCAGCCTTTTGATGACCTTAGGGGCTGCCCTTCGGTCACGCTGGGCTCTGACGCAGGGCGAAACTTTCGTTGCTGCTTTGGAGCAGCCGGGGCGCAGATCGAGGTCATTTGCCCTGGTCTTCGAGGATTTACTCGCGGGAGTGGTCCTCTGCTTGTCCGTGGAGGACTTTTGCTCGACCACTGCACCTTGAGTTTTTACTGTGCCCTGGATGGGCATGGGGGAGGGGGCCTTCCGCAGCTTTTCCGCCGGCTTCGACTTTCCCTCATGGGGTATAGTACCACCGGCATCCCTGGAGGTTCGCTTTCCCTCTGGGGGTTTAGCAGTCCTTCCAGCTTCTGCGGAAGCCCGAAGCTGCTTGGCCCATTCAGGCCCTCTCGGTTCCGTCGATGCGGTTTCCGAGGTGGTTGGTGTTTTGGACTTTTCATCGCCGTGTCCAGCGGCGGCACTACCCGTGCAGGGTTCCGAGGCTTCTTTATTTGTATTCATCTTTCATCTGGTTCTTTGGCCACCTACTGAGCCGAGGCCTTTCGGTGGCTGGAAAATAAGGAAAGGGGAAGGGGAGTACTTACAAAAGTGTTCCTCTGTCATGCTGTAGCGGACCAACTCGTGTCTCTGCGCCAGCTTATTGTTTGTTATTCGATAACTACTCGTGTTTTAACGAAATGTGATTGAAGTTGAGCATTTGAAAGCACATTTGCATGTCTGGCTGTAGCTGAACGTGTAGAGATGCTCGCTGTTAGTTCTTAGCTCCCAGCATGTTCGAGTTCGAATGCCGTCAGAGGCAACATGTAATTTTTAATTTTTGTCTTGGTTTTTATTAATTTCGAAAAAGCATTTGAGAAGTGAAGAACAATAGCCTGTACAAACGAAAAAATATAACAACAATGCCATTGTTAATATGTTGGAATAGTTTTGTGCTACTCTGATGTAATGCAGGGATGGAGTATATGGTCCTGCCCTAGGACATCGCAATGTTAATTGGACCATATTTTTTATATGAATTGTGGTTAATTTTGGAGTACTTTTTGGTCCTTAGGGAGTACTCTTTACACGCATGCATGGAATAGTCGCGATTTTCGCAGGGCTACTAAACGTTCGGTAACAAGCAGGTCAGGCCTGTAAGCAGATCTTTGTTTGCCGATTGATAGACTACCTGGTCCAACGATTTTTGCAGGGAGCCGGGATATTTTGTTACCAAAACTTGATACCACTTCTTGTAACCGCAACTCTAGGTACCTTGGTAACGTTTTATTTTATTCAGAAATTCAGTTATGAAGTTTAGTAAAAATTCTGGTGTGGCACATTTCATCGAGCAATATTTTGTTACCTGTGTATGAGATGGTAACACAATTTACCGATCACAGAATGCGAAAGCGGTTCAAAAAATGGGAAGAACTTTATTTACCGGTTTCAAAATTTTTGTTACCAACCCAGAATACTCCTGTTAAGGTAAATAAATCAATTTGATTCCTTTTCAAGTTTTAATTTGGTGAAATTAACTAATGAAGGGTTAATTGGTTCAAGACTGATTTTTTCTATGAGACACAATTGACAGATATCGTTACACAGTTTTTAAACAACATAGAGAAAAGGCGGGCAGAGATATCCATACTTAAATATAAAAGTTGTGATAATCTCACATTATATTTGATTATGTACATATATACGTATATATGTATATCAAAGTTGTATGTGTAATATTTAATGTAAATATGTCATAATATATTTAATTTGATGGCCGTATATTAAACATATACAGATAAAACTCACATGTATATAGAGACGATAATAAATGGCGGAAATTCAGGAGTGCTTATCAGCTTGAAACAATAGAAAAAATCGTTTTGTAACATGTAAAGATTCGTCACGATATATTTTTATTTAATATGTAAGTAGAATTTAAGTCACTAGCAACGTAATTTTGCCTATAAATAAGAGTGATTTATGAATATATGTATTACTAAAAAATGATATTTATACAAACGTATGTACATATGTGCACATGTACTTACATATGTGCTAGGATATCGAACGCACATTTGATACACTTTAATGGATGTTTGATTTTCAATAGTTTTGTTGATATTTCTCAATTGAAACTTGATTCATAGTAGTTATAAAATGTAATTTGTACATACATACATATATCCAATATATTGTTAGTGACTAACAATTAAATTAAAGTTGAATCCGATCCGATTCAAGTGCAATTCTTAATGTAAAATTTTTTGATTTGTATGTAATTGTGTATGTAAAGAGTTAAAGGAAAAATAAATAAAAAATAAAATAATATTTAAAATATACGTACACATGAGTTCACACATACACCCATACACCCATACATATGTAAGTATGTAGGTATATACATACATATGTATGTAATTTAAATACAAATAAGTTTAGTTCAAATTGCATTCATAAAAATTTCAAATAACATACATTCACACATAGTAGATATGTATGTATGTTTAATGTGTAGACTATACAGAAAAGCAGTCAATAAATATTAACGTGCAAATTAAAATGTAGTGAAATTTTGATTAAGGAATGAAGAGGTTTGATACATACATACATACATATATTAGCGCACTCAAGAGGTGGGTTTTGCGGTTCAAACCCCCTAAAGCTAATAACCTCAAATACAAACTGCATCCTAAAGCTTAGAATCCAGCTTTCAAGAAAAATCCTAAGAAATATTTTTTAACCGACTTCACAAAAAGGAGAAGATTATCAGTTCGTCGGAATATTTTTATTTATTTTTATGAAGCTTACCGCATAACGTTAACCGGTCTCGATAATTATTTTTTCATTGGAAAGGTGCCTCAAGGGTGGTCCCATACTAATTTTGTTTAGATCCGCTAATTGGATCGTGAAGAAATTAACGATAATCTTAAATTTTTATATGAGAATTGAAGTCGGTTTTGTTTTTTGCTTAAACATTACTTGTTATTATTTCTGTTGCTTCAAAAAGCACTCTGATTTTACTGTAAATTTTCTTGACGAAATAAATATACGAGCGTTCTTTTCTTGAGAGCTGCAAACTGATTAAGGAAATTTTGATAGAAGAAAGTTTCTTTTCCATTTTTTGTGCGTCATTTTATATGAACTTTTCGTTTTTATTGAGAGCTCTTAGGGCCAAATTCACAGTGCGTCGTTAACTCAGAATCGGCAGTTAACTACAAATTTTTTTATTAAAAATCGCACTGTGAATTTGGCACGTAAAAGTTCAAGTGCGAACGGAATCATTGTCCTAGAAATATGCATTGCATACTCACTTACCGTTGTTTTTTTAACTTTACAACCGATAAAAGAGTTTACACTGATATGTACTTAACAAGGATTCGAGGATTGAATTTTTCAACTTGGAATTCGTTCCACCAAAATGAGCGACATACATAATAAACATACAAGTTCAGTTAATTTTTTCGGTATTCTAAATATTAAAAAGGTTAGGCAATCGTGAAAAATCACCATTTCTATCGAAAACCAGAAACCATTAATCGGGGAAAACGAACATAAAAGTGTAAAAATTTTATGGAATTAATTAATTTATTTTATCAAAATTCTTTTTAATACATTTTATTACTTTGAAAGTTGAGCGAGTCTTGTGTTTACAGAACTTTTTCTTAAACAAATAATATTTAAGCAAAAAACACAACCGACTTCAATTCTCATATACAAACTTAGGAAAACCGATAATTTTTCATGATCCAATGTTCGGATCTAAACCAAATTACGAGACGATCCTTGAGGTACCATCTATCCTATAAAAAAATAGAATTATCGATATCGGTTCACGTGGTCCAAAGTTATGCAGTAGCATACATAAAAAAAGAAAAAATATTCCGACGAATTGATAACCTCCCCCTTTTATTGAAGTCGGTTAAAAATGTTTGAGTTTTGTGTTAATTTTATGTAAAAGAAAGTGCAATTTATGAAACTTTAAAAAGTTTCTTTATTTATTACATACTGTACATAAAACTTTCATAAATGTATTTTAAAGAGCGTATTATCTGAATCGAATTTTCAGTATTTTCTGGTGATATACATTTAGAAGCATAGATCCCCCCAAAATATATTCCTGGATGCGCCCCTGCATACATATGTATAAATAATTATTTTGTGGGCTTCAAG